AAAAAATGTTAAAGGCACGCTTTAAAATTAAATACCCATTGCATTTTGAAGTTATTTATTACATGTTCTTACAAGCTAATATCTTTTTTAAAAAAAATATATTTTATTGATTTTTTACAGAGAGGAAGGGAGAGGGATAGAGATCTAGAAACATTGATCGGCTGCCTCCTACACCCCCTACTGGGGATGTGCCCGCAACCAAGGCACATGCCCTTGGCCGGAATCGAACCTGAGACCCCTCAGTCTGCAGGCCGACACTATCCACTGAGCCAAACCGGTCAGGGCAAGCTAATATCTTTTTAAAGTATTCTCATGATTGGCCACATGCCTTAGAACAGAAACCACGAGAATTCTCGTGATCCGTCTGCAATGTGTTAAAATATTTCTTCTAATTAATTTCCTTTCAATGTGCATGAATCCGTGCACTAGGCCACTCGTTTCCAATAAGGTAGGGGACTTCTCATTCAGCTGAGTTTGGAATCAACATCTGTATTCTTTCTGGTTTATCCTCTCCAGAAAGTGTAATTCCAACTTTTGTGGGGCCAGGAAGAGCATGGGGAAGGGAGCAGGATCTGGGAGTGTTAGATGCTTTCTCTAAAGACTTTCAACCATTTCTTTAGTTATCTCTCTCATCTCTTGCTTCTAATTTCTGAGCCTTTCAGGGATTCCACTGAGAGAATCTGCTTATTTCTGGATGGCCCCTGCCTCTTGGCGATGTCTTAGGGCAGAGAAAGCCTAAACCCAAGGCACTTCTTGTTTGTCTGTTTTCCTTCCAGTGTTTTTACAACTCTTGTCTGTTGTTATATTATTTCTCATCATCTTTGTCCTGTAAATTTATAATTTTAACTGCTTTTTGCTATACTTTTAGTGAGGCTTCATGAAGAAATAGAGGTAAAATGTATGGGTAAACACTAACTTAAAGAATTTGTTTATTCTGTCATTTGAATGACATATATACTGTGGGCCCTGTACTTGTGCTGCTGGAGGTACAATAGTGCACAAAGCAAACATTCCTGCTCCCGTGGTGTTTCAGTGCTAGTAGTGAAGACAAACATTGATCAAGATAAGTACTATACAGGTATAGTATGTTAGATAGTGGGACATGTTAAGGAGAAAAATTAAAAAGAGGCATGGGTAGGAACCATTGTGTGGTGAATTGTAATCGTTTAGGTAGGTGGTGGTGGAAGGCTTCATTGAGAAGGAGCCATTTGAGTAAAGACCTTAAGAAATGAGGGACCCGCCCTGGCTGGTTGCTCAGTCGTTATAGCATTAGTCTGCACACACAAGGGCTGCTGGTTCGATTCCTGGTCAAGAACATGTACCTGGGTTGCAGGTTTGATCCCTGGCCCTGGTTGGGGAGCATTCGGGAGGCAATCAATCAATGTATCTCTCTCACATTGATTTTTTTTTTCTCTCTCTCCTTCTCTCTCTTTCCTCCCCCCCTCTCTCCCTCCTTTCCTCTCTCTGAAAATCAGTGGAAAAAATATCCTTGGGTGAGCATTAGCAACAACAACAAAAATTAAGAAATGCGGGACCTGACTGCACAGCTATTTAGGGGAAGAACGTTATAGGTAGGAAGAGAAGTCAGAACAAAGACCCTAAAGCAGCTGTGTGCCCAGCACATTTGAGGAACATCAAGGAGGGCCAGCATGGTGGCATCACATTATAAGA